ATCCGAAGAAAAGTTGGGTTTCCAGGACTCTCTTGTTTCATATTTGTGGAGATTACTTCCATTTTGAGTGCAAGTGTTGTGTGAATAGATTCAAAGGTGTAATCTCCTTCGATTCCGGTTAAAAGATGCTAAGTTTTCGTCCGTCATATGACTGGCATTATCAGAGCAAGGTATCATCGTCACAACACAATTCAAGCTAACGAGTCAAGAAAAATGACCTTAAAATATCTTCATACAACACTTTTACTCGAAATGGAAGTAAGCTCAACAATTGGGACATCCGAGACCAAATCTGTCACGTTTTCAATATCAGTTCTGCCTGCTTATAAACAAAAAATAAGCACTAATTACATGTCTACTCAAATGGTATTTAAGTAGAGCGTATTAATTACATAGAAATTAAAATTTCAGTAAAACGTTTAAAGAAAATTGACGAGTGACTATGTTTTCACTTTTGCCTTATTGTGTGGCTATTATTGAAGCTGTACACTCATTCAATTAGCTTAATCGTTATGAAGCAGAGAAGCAGGATGGTTGGAATTGGACGAATTGCGCTAATTCCCCTTATTTAAGCTGCAAGAAAAAAAAGATTCCGGCTTAGACTTGCCCAAGCGTCAGTTATTACTTATAATCATATAAGGTAAGTTTCGGAACTGTTAGTAAATCTTGAAAGGACTTTCCAGTCACAAAAGTGAATGAAGGTCGGATAGTTGAATCTTCCAGAAACCATATAAATTGGCCCAACACAGTCATTTAATTTCACACAAAAGATATATTTGGTAATAAACTGAACATTAATTTCGAAGTCGAATGAACTTGTCGCCTCAACAACACCAAAGAGAATCTATCCAGGATTGCCAAAGTGCAGTGTGTTCTTTCCACATGCGAACACTATGTCAGATTGCCGTGAGTGTCAATGGGCTACAGGGCAGATCACGCATCCCACATATCACACTTATCCTGGGGTTGTAAATGAGGTAAACTTTTAATTTGGTATTATATTCGCAGACGCCACTTAAACTTATGGCAAGCAGAGTATGATATTGTAGAAAATATTGAATGAATATTTTAGATCTTATTCGATATTTGCGATCGTCTCGAAACCTACCTTCACTGAGTATTGAAATTCAAATTAGTTCAGCCTCTCTTTCAAAAGGGGGATTTTGGATCAGGACATATTTGAGTTTTTTTTAATTCTAATCCACTAATAGCTAGTATATTGTTAGATCATCAATAAATATTGTATAAGGGTTGTACTTAAAGTTCTAACTCATGACTTATCCACTAAAATGCCTATTTGTTTAGCCCCTCGCGTATCAAATCGTCGAAAAAGCAAAATCTTATTTTGTCATTCTAATCACATATATTACTCATATTAATTATGAGTAGACAATATAAATATTATTCAATATAGTTTGAGCGTTTTAGTTCTTAATCAGGCTTTAACGATAGTTTCGAATTCTACTTCCTCTGAATGTCAAAATGCAAATCCATTCAGCTTCTGCCCTACCACATTGATGATAACACTAAGGGGCAGTATCAACTCGATTTAAAAAAAATTACATTCACCTAATTTAGCTAAAATCAGATAAGACTTTCTGCTGGGTAAAGAGCAGAGTGAGGACCTTCATGCTGTAGGCAGAGAGAACAATTTGCTTCCCACAAATGCTTCACTCATCCCATCTGCCGAGTTGCCCCAACGTCAAGGCCCCGAGCTCAACCTCCGCGTCGAGTTGGCCAGTCTCTTTTTCCCCTGGCGGACTCACTTTCGCCCTGACTGCTGGACGCCTCGTTGCTGCAGAAGGAGCGCGTCGGGCTCTGCTGCTCGGTCTCGTCGAGGAGACAGTCGGACTCGGAGCCCTCTCGGACGTCCAGCTCAAAGGGGTCGCCGGGCGGCAGGCTGTAGCCCTCGTCATCAGCCTCGGCCTCAGTCTCCGGTCTCTCCTCGCCAGCCAGCGCCTGCTTGTTGGAGAGCTTTGTACCCGAGTCCCGCCGGGTCGAGGTCATTTGGCCGAATTCATCGAACTCGCTTCTACCCACAACACAAGCGCCAGGCTTTCGGCCGGTCAAGAGTGGGGATTGTGGCATGCAGATTGCGAAAGGCTCTGCTTCTCGCGTTGGATGCATGAGACTCGGATGTGTCAGGCCGACTGGAACTGTAGACTTGGCATCTGCAAAATAGGTGGACAAGTTAGCAAAATGCGTGGAAATCATAAGTAACAAAGCAAAAGCTTGACAAGGGAAGATGGGAAACACGACTTGACAATGTATGCAATGATCAAACTAGAATGTGCAAAAATAATATTTTAACAAATTAAAGTGAGAATTGGTAGCATAATCAGAAATTCGGTCGAGTCCATATTTTGCATTTAGGCACATCTTACTTAATTAACAAAATAAGTAGTATGTAATATGTAAATAAAAGTTGGTATTGTAAGAATCACTTCAGGTGACTCAAATTTTCACTTCGAAGGAAAAGCTGTTTGGAAGGAATTCGTATATTGTTTATGTTCACCCTATTTCGTTTAGGGTAATTGAGGACTGGTAGTTGATTTTTCCCGCAATTATATGAGTCGAGTTGAGGTTTCCATTAAATTTCAAGGAATTTCAGGCAATTTCCATTTCGCATTCTGTATTTAGATGGTCGATTAAGCAAACTTATATTTGTTATAGCAATGAAGTAGATTACTTTTTCAAGACTGCCATTAACTCAGCTATATATATGAGTTGGGTTTACTCTATTTCGTTTAAGGTGAGAAAGGATGAGAATGTGGTATGGCAGAAACTGAATGGATTTGCATTTTTACATTCAGTAGAAGTAGAATTCGAAACTATCGCTAAAGCGTCAGTAAGAACTAGAACACTTAAACTATATTAAATAATAGTTCCATTGTCTACTTATCACTTTTTGAGAAGGCAAAGCTATGTGAAATTCAATGTAAACTTCAACTCTATTCAAGCATTGTGGGAAATATCAACTAACAGTACTTCGTCGCCTTAAACGAAATCAGGTGTAGACAAATCACATATAGCTGAGATACTGGAAGTCTTGAAAACCCACTCATTCACGGAAGGATTATTTATTAGCCTCGACAGAATCTGAATGAGGATTGCTTGAGCCTGTCGCACAATGACGACGTTGTCAGAGCGTATTTCATATATTTTACCAAAAAGCCGCAATAAACTGTGAAAACTAAAAGAAAATGAGCACAATTCTTCCGGCATACTTTGCGTAAAATCGCGGCATCCGATAATGTGATCAGCTAGTTCATGTATTTGGGGAGTTTTTCCCCGATTCATGGTTTCCAGGCCTAAAGATGACTGTCGCTGTGGCGCAGAAGAAATGAAAGCACAGATCCAACGAAGTATGTAGAATGATAGGCCAAGGAGGTTAGTTGCATAACGCAATGTGGTTGTCTTCAAAGAGGTTCCATTTTGGTCTCTGGCGAGGCGAAATTACAAGTCGATTACCTTCAATACTTGCTTTAAAAGGAACATTCAAAAGGAAGGCCTGCAATGGAGTCCCCTGAATCAAATAAAGAATTTAAAAAGCATAGTTCATAGTTGCGACGTGAAGCAAAGTAAAGATAAGAGAAAAGAAGAAAAAATAAAAAATAAAATGAGGCGGAAAGAAAGAAGAAGAGAAGATAATAGAATAGAATAGAAGAGAAGAGAAAAGAAGAGAAGAGAAGAGAAGAGAAGAGAAGAGAAGAGAAGAG